TCACACACTATTTCTACCTGACAATCTCGTTTAAAATGGCCAGGTTTTCCACACTTGTAACAATCTTTAAATGGCTTCTTTGAAAACTCCTCACTCGTGAATTGATTCTCATTGCTTGAATAAGACTTTGAATGAAAATTCTGTCTCCTTTGATCTTTGACATACAACACATCTTATGACTTTGGGAAAAACTCGTTGCTATTAGTCATTTGCTTAATCAAACGTTTCTGATTGGAAAGAAGATTCACGAGCTCAATTACTGTAGGCTGATTTGCCCACCCTTGTTTTGAGGAAATAAAGGGCATAAAATCTTTTCGTAATCCACGAATAAGATGACGCCGTAATCGAGCACCACTCACGGGCTCCTTAGCATCTAATTTTGAAATTTCAGAACACCGATTTTTCACTTTAAAAAAAAATTCTTCAACAGAAAAATTACCTTGAGTTACCATAGCTAGTTCATTCTCTAGAAATTGTAGTCGAGCGGTATTTTTCTTAGTGAACAACTTTTGAAGTGTTTCCCATACGCTTTGGTGACTTTAAATCACGAACGTGATCAATATAGTCCTTGCTAATCAAAGTTTGCAAGGTAAATAAGGCTTTTCCGGATTTGATCTTCCATTGTCGACGTAATTCTGCATTCTGTGGAGTATCTGTTTTTCGCATTTGATCTTCCATTGTCAGCGTAATTCTACATTTTGTGGAGTATTTGCTGGAATTTCTGTGTCATCACCTTCCATTAAATCCCACAAATCTTCCCCCTGTAGATAAGCTTCCATACATAACTTCCAATAACTATAGAATTCGAATCGAAGGTTCAACCTTTATTAACATTCACAACGTTCAAATAAATATAAGATACCAACTAATACCTACAAATAAGGAAAATATAAACGATCTCAATCTTAACAATAAAATAAAATATACTACTAATCAAATCTAAAGAGAAAAATATTAACGAAATCTAAGATATATTCTATAACTAATATATTCTCAAAATATTAACTGAATATGAATATCTTGTATTAACTGAATCTCAGATATATTGTATAGTTAATGTATTCTCCAAATATTAACTTATTATGATTATAAATATGAATATCTAGACTAATTCAAACTAATTTTCACTAAATTTTGACAATAACTCCAAGAGTGTTCCCAATTAGAGAAATATAATATCATGCCAGTTTTGGGGGCAAAACTCAAACTCTTATTTCTAGCCCATTTTATTTAAAATTGAGGTTTCGTTAGACTTAGGAAACTAAATAAAGCATATCTGATGAAGGAATTGAGGGGTAATTCGTTGAGATCAAGCTGCCTAGGAGGATCAACTCTACATTTTAGGTTCAGATGCAAACCGAAATTTGAATTCAATAGTAGCCACAGTTTTCATCTTAAATTAATTCATTTAGTTTGAGGGGAATATAAGGAAGAATTCTTGTGAAAAAAATTGTGGCCTTAATATGCAACAATAATCGTACTCAATAAACCCTAAAATTGAGTATTCCACCAAGTTTGGAAGCTGATAATTTAGGATACAGTCCAAGAAAAGGTGAGATATTGCCCCTATCTCTTTCTTGAGACTCAATCTTTTAAGTTTCATGAAAGAATTGAGGGGAGAAATGTAAGAACAATAGATTTCTACTAACTTAAAGTCGCTACCGTATATATAATATAACTTCTTATGCGGAAATAATCAATTAAATCATCTCCATAAAACAACGTTAAGGGCTTACATGTTTAAGAAAATGTCTTTAAAACAATACAAAAGACATACAAACTTTACATGAAATATAGAAGTAGCATGTGGCTTGAGTATTTTATACTCAGTAAGTGACCCCGCTATTGGAGCTAGAAAATGAAAAGACATACAAACATGAATGGGACCTATCATTTTAAGTCATATTCCCTTAGGTGATCCTAATGGGATCATTGGATGAGTAGTTAAAACATGCAACATGAATAAGACCTATCATTTTAAGTCGTATTCAGAATTATTACACACCTTCTGGGTCCCTTCTAGTCGGACTAGCATTCTCTGGTGGTGTTGTCGGAAACCCGAAAGTAGCAGCAACCATCTTAACATCATGTTAAACATAATGATCATTTTCTCTTTCATAAGGTTCATCATAAGCCCCATGCTTGTAACATACAATAATTCATGAGGTTTAAAACAACCCTCTTCCTTTTTTCCTTCATACCACATGATTTTATATCATAACTTTCAAAATCATGTCTTGGGGTTGTGTATCATATCAAAGCCAAGTTTCAATCTTGGGACTTGTGCGTTATGGGACCACAACGCTTCCGCTACGCAACTCTGATTTATAAAAACATTGGACAATTTTCCGATTTGTGTGTGTCATTCTTCTGCAGGGGCCATGCTAATCTTCTGTGTATCGTTCCAATTTTTACCCGTTTTAACCTATATTCGATTGCTCTTCCCTGATTTCGATGTGGACCATTTTATGATTTGAATTAGGTTATACTAGAGAAATTTTAGAAAGTTTGAAGCTCCTAACACAAGAAAAAGCTTGCTCGACAAGGCATACGTCATCCATATAAATAGTCATTCTCGCTTTTCTCAAGTAATGCTTGTGTAAGAACATAATAGCATGGGAGTATATCTTTCCTTAGGTGTTAGAATATGCATGTTTAGGACTCTAGAAGGACTATTTGGATGAAAATATTTTATATGTTAAGAAAAATTAAGGAAATATCCCTAGGATGAGAATTTATGATGCATACCGATTTTTATGCTTTCCATTGTGCTGGAATGGAGGATAAGATATTATGATATGTGTCCTGGGTGACTAATGAGTGTTATTTCCCCCATTGAGTTTTCTTGAATGTTTAGATTATGATTTCCTTACTGGTTGGTACGAACATATCCCTAATAGGCATGCATGAATGAGCAGATTATGTATTTCGTGCTTTAGGTGATTGATAGAAATATCTTCCTAACAAAGTATGCATGAGTGATCTAAGCTAATTAGGGCATTAGAGCTAGAGCGGTTTATATGTTGACATAGGTCAGTACATTTCTATCGAGCACTAAAGGATTATGAGTAGCAATCATACGTCAAGACTTGAGTGCACCGTTGGCCTAGGTCAGTACATTTCTATCGAGCACTAAAGGATTATGAGTAGCAATCATACGTCTAGACTTGAGCGCACCTAGAGATTGAGTTGGCCCCCAAGGAGCTAACCCCAAGCATAATAAAAAAAATGCGAGATGAGGACTAAATCACCTAGATGCCCCTAAGGACCCAAGAAGCCTCCATGACATTTAAGAATGATTAAGAAAACTTAATCAATAGTATACAAAATCGTCATCATATTAAGGAAATGTCTTGAAACACATCATATTCATCAATAATAAAAGTCATCATCAGGGCATCAAACATTAATCACATACAGAAACAGTGGTAGAGCTGCATGAAACACATCATATTCATCAATAATAAAAGTCATCATCAAGGGCATCAAACATTAATCACATACAGAAACAGTGGTAGAGCTGCTACCACTGCCTAAGTAACTAAATGTAAGCTATCGTTCCTTGAAGTTAAGGATATTAAGGATCGATATCAGAGCCAGATTTCAATCCTGGGACCTGTGGGTTATGGGCCCACCACGCTTCCGCTGCGCCACTCTGATTTATGAAAAAAATTGAACCATTTCTCAATTGGTGTGTGTCATTCTTCTGCAGGGGCCATGCTAATCTTCTGTGTATCGTTCCAATTTTTACCCGTTTTAACCTATATTCGATTGCTCTTCCCTGATTTCGATGTGGACCATTTTATGATTTGAATTAGGTTATACTAGAGAAATTTTAGAAAATTTGAAGCTCCTAACACAAGAAAAAGCTTGCTCGACAAGGCATATGTCATCCATATAAATAGTCATTCTCGCTTTTCTCAAGTAATGCTTGTGTAAGAACATAATAGCATGGGAGTATATCTTTCCTTAGGTGTTAGAATATGCATGTTTAGGACTCTAGAAGGACTATTTGGATGAAAATATTTTATATGTTAATAAAAATTAAGGAAATATCCCTAGGATGAGAATTTATGATGCATACCGATTTTTATACTTTCCATTGTGTTGGAGTGGAGGATAAGATATTATGATATGTGTCCTGGGTGACTAATGAGTGTTATTTCACCATTGAGTTTGCTTGAATGTTTAGATTATGATTTCGTTACTGGTTGATACGAACATATCCCTAATAGGCATGCATGAATGAGTAGATTATGTTTTTCGTGCTTTAGGTGATTGATTGAAATATCTTCCTAACAAAGTATGCATGAGTGATCTAAGTTAATTAGGGCATTAGAGCTAGAGCGGTTTATATGTTGACATAGGTCAGTACATTTCTATCGAGCACTAAAGGATTATGAGTTGCAATCATATGTCAAGACTTGAGTGCACCGTTGGCCTAGGTCAATACATTTCTATCGAGAACTCTAGGATTATGAGTAGCAATCATACGTCTAGACTGGAGTGCACCTAGAGATTGAGTTAGCCCCAAAGGAGCTCACCCCAAGCATCATAAAAAAAATGCGAGATGAGGACTAAATAACCTAGATGCCCCTAAGGACCCAATAAGCCTCCATGACATTTAAGAATGATTAAGAAAGCTTAATCAATAGTATAAAAAATCGTCATCATTTTAAGGAAATGTCATGAAACATCATATTCATCAATAATAAAAGTCATCATCGAGGGCATCAAACATTAATCACGTACAGAAACGGGGGTAGAGCTGCATGAAACACATCATATTCATCAATAATAAAAGTCATCATCAAGGGAATCAAACATTAATCACATACAGAAACAGTGGTAGAGCTGCTACCACTGCCTAAGTAACTAAATGTAAGCTATCGTTCCTTGAAGTTAAGGATATTAAGGATCAATATCAGAGCCAGATTTCAATCCTGGGACCTGTGGGTTATGGGCCCACCACGCTTCCGCTACGCCACTCTGATTTATAAAATAAATTAAAGCATTTTTCAATTGGTGTGTTTCATTCTTCTGCAGGGGCCATGCTAATTTTCTGTGTATCGTTCCAATTTTTACCCGTTTTAACCTATATTCGATTGCTCTTCCCTGATTTCGATGTGGACCATTATATGATTTGAAGTAGGTTATACTAGAGAAATTTAGGAAATTTGAAGTTCCTAACACAAGAAAAAGCTTGCTCGACAAGGCATACGTCATCCATATAAATAGTCATTCTCGCTTTTCTCAAGTAATGCTTGTGTAAGAACATAATAGCATGGGAGTATATTTTCCTTAGGTGTTAGAATATGCATGTTTAGGACTCTAGAAGGACTATTTGGATGAAAATATTTTATATGTTAAGAAAAATTAAGGAAATATCCCTAGGATGAGAATTTATGATGCATACCGATTTTTACGCTTTCCATTGTGCTGGAATGGAGTTTAAGATATTATGATATGTGTCCTGGGTGAATAATGAGTGTTATTTCACCATTGAGTTTGCTTGAATATTTAGATTATGATTTCCTTATTGGTTGGTAGGAACATATCTCTAATAAGCATGCATGAATGAATAGATTATGTTTTTCGTGCTTTAGGTGATTGATAGAAATATCTTCCTAACAAAGTATGCATGAGTGATCTAAGCTAATTAGGGCATTAGAGCTAGAGCGGTTTATATGTTGACAAATGTCAGTACATTTCTATCGAGCACTAAAGGATTATGAGTAGCAATCATACGCCAAGACTTGAGTGCACCAAGAAATATCTTCCTAACAAAGTATGCATGAGTGATCTAAGCTAATTAGGGCATTAGAGCTAGAGCGGTTTATATGTTGACATAGGTCAGTACATTTCTATCGAGCACTAAAGGATTATGAGTAGCAATCATACGTCAAGACTTGAGTGCACCGTTGGCCTAGGTCAGTACATTTCTATCGAGCACTCTAGGATTATGAGTAGCAATCATACGTCTAGACTTGAGTGCACCTAGAGATTGAGTTAGCCCCAAAGGAGCTAACCCCAAGCATCATAAAAAAAATGCAAGATGAGGACTAAATCAGTTAGATGCCCCTAAGGACCCAATAAGTCTCTATGACATTTAAGGATCGATATCAGAGCCAGGTTTCAATCCTGGGACCTGTGGGTTATGGGCCCACCACACTTCCGCTGCGCCACTCTGATTTATAAAATAAATTGAACCATTTCTCAATTGGTGTGTGTCATTCTTCTGCAGGGGCCATGCTAATCTTCTGTGTATCGTTCCAATTTTTACCCATTTTAACCTATATTCGATTGCTCTTCCCTGATTTCGATGTGGACCATTATATGATTTGAATTAGGTTATACTAGAGAAATTTTAGAAAATTTGAAGCTCCTAACACAAGAAAAAGCTTGCTCGACAAGGCATACGTCATCCATATAAATAGTCATTCTCGCTTTTCTCAAGTAATGCTTGTGTAAGAACATAATAGCATGGGAGTATATCTTTCCTTAGGTGTTAGAATATGCATGTTTAGGACTCTAGAAGGACTATTTGGATGAAAATATTTTATATAGTAAGAAAAATTAAGGAAACATCCCTAGGATGAGAATTTATGATGCATACCGATTTTTTTGCTTTCCATTGTGTTGGAATGGAGGATAAGATATATTGATATGTGTCCTGGGTGACTAATGAGTGTTATTTCACCATTGAGTTTGCTTGAATGTTTAGATTATGATTTCCTTACTGGTTGATACGAACATATCCCTAATAGGCATGCATGAATGAGTAGATTATGTTTTTCGTGCTTTAGGTGATTGATAGAAATATCTTCCTAACAAAGTATGCATGAGTGATCTAAGCTAATTAGGGCATTAGAGCTAGAGTAGTTTATATGTTGACAAATGTCAGTACATTTCTATCGAGCACTAAAGGATTATGAGTAGCAATCATACGTCAAGACTTGAGTGCACCAAGAAATATCTTCCTAACAAAGTATGCATGAGTGATCTAAGCTAATTAGGGCATTAGAGCTAGAGCGGTTTATATGTTGACATAGGTCAGTACATTTCTATCGAGCACTAAAGGATTATGAGTAGCAATCATACGTCAAGACTTGAGTGCACCGTTGGCCTAGGTCAGTACATTTCTATCGAGCACTCTAGGATTATGAGTAGCAATCATACGTCTAGACTTGAGTGCACCTAGAGATTGAGTTAGCCCCAAAGGAGCTAACCCCAAGCATCATAAAAAAAATGCAAGCTGAGGACTAAATCACTTAGATGCCCCTAAGGACCCAATAAGTCTCTATGACATTTAAGGATCGATATCAGAGCCAGATTTCAATCCTGAGACCTGTGGGTTATGGGCCCACCACACTTCCGCTGCGCCACTCTGATTTATAAAATAAATTGAACCATTTCCCAATTGGTGTGTGTCATTCTTCTGCAGGGGCCATGCTAATCTTCTGTGTATCGTTCCAATTTTTACCCGTTTTAACCTATATTCGATTGCTCTTCCCTGATTTCGATGTGGACCATTATATGATTTGAATTAGGTTATACTAGAGAAATTTTAGAAAATTTGAAGCTCCTAACACAAGAAAAAGCTTGCTCGACAAGGCATACGTCATCCATATAAATAGTCATTCTCGCTTTTCTCAAGTAATGCTTGTGTAAGAACATAATAGCATGGGAGTATATCTTTCCTTAGGTGTTAGAATATGCATGTTTAGGACTCTAGAAGGACTATTTGGATGAAAATATTTTATATAGTAAGAAAAATTAAGGAAACATCCCTAGGATGAGAATTTATGATGCATACCGATTTTTTTGCTTTCCATTGTGCTGGAATGGAGGATAAGATATATTGATATGTGTCCTGGGTGACTAATGAGTGTTATTTCACCATTGAGTTTGCTTGAATGTTTAGATTATGATTTCCTTACTCGTTGATACGAACATATCCCTAATAGGCATGCATGAATGAGTAGATTATGTTTTTCGTGCTTTAGGTGATTGATAGAAATATCTTCCTAACAAAGTATGCATGAGTGATCTAAGCTAATTAGGGCATTAGAGCTAGAGCGGTTTATATGTTGACATAGGTCAGTACATTTCTATCGAGCACTAAAGGATTATGAGTAGCAATCATACGTCAAGACTTGAGTGCACCGTTGGCCTAGGTCAGTACATTTCTATCGAGCACTCTAGGATTATGAGTAGCAATCATACGTCTAGACTTGAGTGCACCTAGAGATTGAGTTAGCCCCAAAGGAGCTAACCCCAAGCATCATAAAAAAAATGCAAGATGAGGACTAAATCACTTAGATGCCCCTAAGGACCCAATAAGTCTCTATGACATTTATGGATCGATATCAGAGCCAGGTTTCAATCCTGGGACCTGTGGGTTATGGGCCCACCACGCTTCCGCTGCGCCACTCTGATTTATAAAATAAATTGAACCATTTCCCAATTGGTGTGTGTCATTCTTCTGCAGGGGCCATGCTAATCTTCTGTGTATCGTTCCAATTTTTACCCGTTTTAACCTATATTCGATTGCTCTTCCCTGATTTCGATGTGGACCATCATATGATTTGAATTAGGTTATACTAGAGAAATTTTAGAAAATTTGAAGCTCCTAACACAAGAAAAAGCTTGCTCGACAAGGCATACGTCATCCATATAAATAGTCATTCTCGCTTTTCTCAAGTAATGCTTGTGTAAGAACATAATAGCATGGGAGTATATCTTTCCTTAGGTGTTAGAATATGCATGTTTAGGACTCTAGAAGGACTATTTGGATGAAAATATTTTATATAGTAAGAAAAATTAAGGAAACATCCCTAGGATGAGAATTTATGATGCATACCGATTTTTTTGCTTTCCATTGTGCTGGGATGGAGGATAAGATATATTGATATGTGTCCTGGGTGAGTAATGAGTGTTATTTCCCCACTGAGTTTGCTTGAATGTTTAGATTATGATTTTCTTACTGATTGATAGGAACATATCCCTAATAGGCATGCATGAATGAGTGGATTATGTTTTTCGTGCTTTATGTGATTGATAGAAATATCTTCCTAACAAAGTATGCATGAGTGATCTAAGCTAATTAGGGCATTAGAGATAGAGCGGTTTATATGTTGACCTAGGTCAGTACATTTCTATCGAGCACTCAAGGATTATGAGTAGCAATCATACGTCTAGACTTGAGTGCACCTACAGATTGAGTTAGCCCCCAAGGAGCTAACCCCAAGCATCATAAACAAATGCGAGATGAGGACTAAATCACCTAGATGCCCCTAAGGACCCAATAAGCCTCCACGACATTTGAGAATGATTCAGAAAGCTTAATCAATAGTATAAAAAATCGTCATCATATTAAGGAAATGTCATGAAACATCATATTCATCAATAATAAAAGTCATCATCAAGGGCATCAATCATATTAAGGAAATGTCATGAAACATCATATTCATCAATAATAAAAGTCATCATCAAGGGCATCAAACATTAATCACGTACAGAAACAGTGGTAGAGCTGCCTAAGTAACTAAATGTAAGCTCCCGTGTTCCTTGAAGTTAAGGACATTAAGGATCGATATCAGAGCCAGGTTTCGATCCTGGGACCTGTGGGTTATGGGCCCACCACGTTTCCGCTGCGCCACTCTGATTTATGAAAAAAATTGAACCATTTCTCAATTGGTGTGTGTCATTCTTCTGCAGGGGCCATGCTAATCTTCTGTGTATCGTTCCAATTTTTACCCGTTTTAACCTATATTCGATTGCTCTTCCCTGATTTCGATGTGGACCATTTTATGATTTGAATTAGGTTATACTAGAGAAATTTTAGAAAATTTGAAGCTCCTAACACAAGAAAAAGCTTGCTCGACAAGGCATACGTCATCCATATAAATAGTCATTCTCGCTTTTCTCAAGTAATGCTTGTGTAAGAACATAATAGCATGGGAGTATATCTTTCCTTAGGTGTTAGAATATGCATGTTTAGGACTCTAGAATGACTATTTGGATGAAAATATTTTATATGTTAAGAAAAACTAAGGAAATTTCCCTAGAATGAGAATTTATGATGCATACCGATTTTTATGCT